AATGGAAACTGAGACCCAGAGAAGAGGATCCAAGGTCCCAGAAGCAGTGACAGAGCAAGGATTTGAACCCAGGTATCTTGATTCCAAATCCAGCCCTCTTCCCATTGTACCACACTGAACATTGCTCTTTCGCTCTACATCCTCTCTGGTACTGAACTCAGAATCTCAGAATGTATGAGCTGGAAAGCACCTTAGAACTCATCTGTTGTTATTCAATTGTTTCAGTCATGTCCAACTCTTCATGATGCCATTTGGAGTTTTCTTGATAAAGATACTAGAGTGGTATGCCGTTTCCCCCTGCAGCTCATTTTACAGTTGAGGAAACTGAGGTCAAAAGGGGTAAGTGACTTGCCCAGGGTCACAAAGCTAGTATTTGAGGTTGGATTTGAACTCAGGTCTTTTTGACTCCAGGCCCAGCACTCTAACCACTTTGCCACCTAGATGCCCCAGAACTCTTCTAGTCTAACATATTTTACAAGTGAGGAAACTGAGGCCCAGAAAGTAGTATTAATTAATTATATAGTTAATAAATACTTATTTTACATCCTTTAAAGCTCATCAACTCTGTCATACTTCTTGTCTGTCCATAGTATCTGAATAGTTTTGTGACCACAGTAAATGTTTGATGTGCTGAAGTCAATATGGGGTAGTACAATCCACACTGGATTTGCATCCAGAGGTCCTGAGTTCAAATTCTGACTGTATCACTTACTAGCTGCATCACATTGGGCAAGTCACTTCCTCTGCCCCTCTTGTTCCCTTCATCTATAAAATGAATGAGGTCAATGAGATGATGTACAGAGAAGGCATAGAATAAGCTTGAAGACTTTCCTGATCTCGCTTAACAAAGGTGCCTTCTCTTTATTGTTTCCAAGTTATCTTCTATATGTATTGATTGCACATTTTCTCCCTCATTAGACTGGGAGCTCTTTGAGAGCAGTGACTGTCTTTTGCATTTCTCTGACTCCTAACACAGTGCCTGGCACATGGTAGGCACTAATTGACTAAGAGCATTGGCTTTGCAAACAGAGGACCTGGGTTCAAATTGCATTTCTGTCACTAACTACCCATGTGGTCTTGGGTATATCTCTCTAGGTCATAGTTTCCTAATGTATGAAATGAGGTTGGATCCAGGGATGGGGAACCTTTGGCCTCCAGCCCACATGTGACCTCTAGGTCCTCAAGTGCGGCCCTTGAACTGAATCCAAACTTCACAGACCAAATCCCCTATAAAAGGATTTGTTCTGTAAAACTTGGATTCAGTCAAAAGGCCTCCCTCAAGAACCCAGAAGGCCGCACATGGCCTCAAGGCTGCAGGTTCCCCACCCCTGCCGCCTCTCTAAGGTCCTTTTCAGCTTCCTTTAAGTCAGCATCTTCTTTGCTAGGGGCCTCCTCCCTTATGCCCTCTGCTGGCAACATTCAAAAAGATTTCCTGGAGGCTCCATACCAAACCCAGTCTATAGGAAGCCCCAGAAGCTACAGACATGATAACAATAACTCACAATTAAAGTTTACAAAGAGCGTTCCTTACAAGATCCAAGAAGGAGAAGGTAATAAGGTCATTATTATCTCCATTTTACAGCTGAGGAAACTGATGCTCAGAAGGTAAGTGCTTTGTGCAGGATAACACAGTATAGAGAGCAAAGATAGAAGATCCCCCACTGCCCAAACATAGCTTCTCTTGGACAAAGCCCCAGCACCCAGAGAAGACCAAGAACTGAGAGGGAGGAATAGCTCCCAAAATCCCTTTCTGAGTTACTAAAAATTCTGACCCTCAGCTTTGATCGGGGCTGGCCACCTCCCAACTATGAAGAAAAAAAAAAGCTTTGTTTTGAGCACCCCTGGACTCTCCCCTTTTCTGTATCTTTCCCCTCTTCCTCCTAATAGGCACCTACAATGCTAATGCTATCTCCCTCCTTGCCTCAATCCAAAGGAGGAACTCCCTTATATATTAGTTTAAATGAATGATATGGACTTCTAGCAATCACTCTTTCCAGGGAAACTTGCATCACAACTTAGGATAAAGACATATCAAGTTTAATTCAATGAAATATTAGTGAAAGCACCTAATATGTATGTAGCCCTGTGATTGGTGCTAAGGATACAAGAACAGATAAAACCCTGGCCCTGCAATGTGGGAGTCAAGATCTAGTGGAGAGGGGTCCTAGGGAGTATTTAGGTATGGAAGGAACCTTTAGAGATCACCAATCTCGTTTTATAGGTGTAGAAACTAGTGCAAGACTGAAAGACCTGTAGAGGTCTATGAAAAATATGAGAAGGGATAGATCAGATTGTGAGGAGAGTGGCAGAAGGACTTTCAGGAAAGACCTCGTGGAGGAAGGGACATCTGAGTTAGGCCATGAAGGAAGGGACTTCTATCAGCCTTAATAGTGAAATTCTGAGAGAAGTTTTTGTTGTTGTTGTCTTTATCTCAAAAAAGAGAGAACCAAAGAAAAAAATAATGCAAACCTAATAGGTATCACTGATAGAGCACTGGACTTGAAATCAGAATAACTCATCTTCCTGAATTAAAATCTGGACTGAGACACTTACTAGCTAAGTGACCCTGGGCAAGTCACTTAACCCTGTTTGCCTGTTTCCTCATCTGTAAAATGAGCTAGAGAAAGAAATGGCAAAACACTCCATTATCTTTCCCAAGAAAATCCCAAATGGGGTCACCAAGAGTTGGACATGACTGAAACTTGATGAGGTCTGAGAGGTTGAGATCCCTCAAGGACCAGAGTATAGGACAGGGTCATCTGGAATCAATTCACAGACTCAAGCATTTTTTAAGTCGAAGTGGCAAAGATTTATTGTTATGCTATATGGCGGGTAAGAGGTCCTTAAGGAATTCTGCCATGGTGGGCAGACCTCCTTAGGAAACTTGCAACCTAAAAGGAATGATGCTAAAGCTTATATAGGAAAAGTAGTGAATTATGTGCCAAGTATGCTAATTAGGTGATAACACACAACTACGTCATTCATTACTGGAAACCATGGGGAGGGGGAGAAGAGAGAGTTCCTAAAG